TGTTACTTATCCAATGAAACCTTGGTCGAAGGTGGCGATTGACATTATGGGACCGTTTCATTCTGCGCCACAGCACCAGAGGAACTGCTTAGTTGCCACGTGCTATTACAGTAAGTGGCCGGAAGTCCATTTGTGTGGCGATGTGACCACCTCAACCGTTATACGGTGGCTGAAACATCTGTTTGCTAGATTTGGGTTTCCTAAGGAAATTGTGACAGACAACGGGCCACATTTCACGAACTATGAGTTTAAACGTTTCTTACAACTTCGTGATGTGAAGCACGTACATACTGTCCCGTACAACCCAGCTGCCAACGGCATGGTTGAGCGCACTAATCGCACGCTAAAAGAAACTATACAGACAGCACGTTTGTCCGGCAGGCAGTGGGAAGATGCCGTTTTAGAGGCTCTGTTTACTCACCGAACATCGCACCACAGAGCGACTGATCGCACGCCAGGTGAGCTGATGTTTGGCAGGAAGTTGCGTACGAAATTAAACGCAGCTATTTCGGCTGCAGAAAACAACGACCCCCACCAACTAAAACGTCGCCGGGGTTATCAGCCATCCTACGAAAAACGGGCCACATCGCTGCGTCCTGGAACGTAGGTCAGGATAAAGGAGAGGCAAACATGGAAAAAAGAACCGGCACTGACGGGACCCATCAGAATTACTCGTGCGCTAGGGCCAGGAACTTATGAGTTAGCAGACGGCCGACGAGTCAACGCCAGACAGCTATATTCTGCACCTCAACCGAAGCAGTGTCCTGAAGCGAGGGCCACCGCAGTGAACCAACCGCTGAAGAGGGGGAGTAGTGTGGCAGCGCGTACGCGCGGGCCTTACCACGACCGCACTTCGTAGCTTGTGATTGGATGCCCGTCCGTTCGCGATCAATACCAGGGTTGTTTTGAATGTACTGAGTGTATGTACCGTTGGCGTGAATAGAAGTTTGTGTTGCGTACCAGTAGAGTTCTGTTTCCTCGTTCAGGGCTTTGGTCGTGCTTGTTCAAGACCCTGCGTGCAGGGGACTAGTGTACGTGTAGATACAACAGAAATAGTTCAAGTTCGGTTTGGACCGGAACGATAGGATAATCAAGTGAATGTTCCTTCTTTTGCGTATCGTCGGGTCGGGAATCGATAGGTCTGCTTGAGATGTTGAAAAGCCTAAAACAGAGACGGCATCACACCCCGTCCAACCAATTACTGCCCACATTAAAAAAAACGAGGGGAAAGTTAAAGATACAAGTCGGTTAAGAGAAGAGGAAGGTTTGGTACTGCCACCCAAGAGCATCTAACTGACGCTCGAAACCCTCAACCGTAGACTCCCTAACGAGGAGCTGCAGAAGCGAGTTTCAACCGTCAATAACTCGGCGCGACAAGCGAGTTTCCGTCCTTACCCGATCACAACGCCATTTGTGAAGCTTGAACGGGTGACCTTAGAGACTAGGCAGTTTGGCGGGACTAAATAGCCAGGACAAGTGTGGACCAATCTCACCTGTTAAGATACGGTAAGTGAGGATCAGTGCTCGGGAAGTCATCGCAGGTGCGGGTGCTTGTGTGATAGCATCATGATGGGTTGCAAGTGGTTCGTCAAAGAGAGCTACTTTGAGGCGGTCGATGGACACCGTTGTTCGGTGACCATTCTGGTCTAAATTGATATGTTCCGGAGTCCGTTGTAGGACTCTGAAAGAGCCGGTGTAGAGCGGCTGGAGAGGGCGCCGCATTGCGTCGGTGGGAAGGAAGAAGTGAGTACAAATATAGTCCGCTGTGCTCTTGCACACCTCTAGTCAACTGACGGAGCGGAGTAGGACGTAGTGAAAGCATGCGTTGAGCTAGGGAGGAAGCAAAGTTAGGCGGAGACATATCCGACGATGCGGGAGGTAAAACGAATTGTGCCATAAACCAGCTCTGCTGGTGCACATGGTAAGTCAGCTTTGATGTTGCTGCGAATGCCTAAGGGTAGGGGCGAAATGTTTTCGCGCCAGCTAAGGTCGGAGGAGGCGCAGAATGAAGTTTTATGCTGTCCACTTAAGCGTTCAACTAACCAGTTGGCTGCTAGATGATACGCTGTGGTATGAAGGCGGCGGCAGCCTAAAAGTTGCAGAACGTAACGAATTGTGAAGATTCGAAAGACGTTCCTCGGTCAGTTGTAATGGTGGATGGGCATCCGTAGTGCGAGACCCACCGATCGAAAAAGGCCCAGATGACAGTCTTGGCTGTGCAGTCTGTTACGGGCATGGCTTCTGGTTATCTGTTGATGCGGTCGACACATGTAAGAGTGCATACGCGCCCGCGTAAAGGAGGCAATGGATCTACTGGGTGTAAGTGTACTTGTGAGAGCTGATAAGCCCGGGCAGGAAATAAACCAAGAGGACTGCGGGTTTGACGGTGTATTTTGAGGGCTGGCATTGAAAACAGGCGCGAGCCCAAGTACGAACATCTTTTTTACGTGTGGCCAACCAAAACGTTTGTTGACCAATTTCAAAGAGGCATGGATACCGGGATGTGTTAGTGAGTGCAGTGCGTCATGAAACAGAGGGGCAGGAGTGGTCTAGGACGATCTGTGGAGGGGTCACAGTGAATGGTTTCTTACGTGGTTTGGAGTGAAACAGGTCGCACAAACAGCGAAGTGGACTGCAGAGTGCATTGTATGTCTTCATCTTGAGTCTGAGCCGATGCCATGGAGGCAAGGTCTAGGCAAATGCTGGAAATTTAGGTTGATGTCTGCGAGAGCTTTGGCAACGGGATTGTCGACACCTGAGACATGACGTATGTCAGCAGTGAACTGCGTGACAAAGTCTAGGTGTCTTGTTTCCGGTGGTGAATATTTGTCGTAAGCAGCGTTGAAAACGATGAGGGGTTTGGGGTCAGTGTAGACCGTGTAAGCGCGGGCTTCGATTGTTTGCCGGAAGTAACGCATGGCTAAGTAAATGGCCAGCAGATCTTTGCTAAACGTGCTGTAGCGGGATTCCGCTGACTGTAAGCGCTTGGAGAAGAACCCAAGGGGTCACCATTGCCCACCAACGTGTTGTTGGAGGACGGCTCCTACCGCGACCTCTGAGGCATCAGCCGTAATAGAAAGAGGTACAGTCGATTCGGAATGAGCGAGGAGGGCTATGTTGGAGATAGCATCCTTGAGCTCGGCGAAGGCTGTCTGTGCTGTCTCGGAAAGCGAACATACGTTCATTCCCTCTGATTAGGTCAGTCAGAGGCTGCATGAGCTGAGTGCAGCGCGGAATGAAGCGTGGATAGTAGTTTACCAAACCATAAATGAACAGAGGTACTTAAACGAATTCGCAGCTGGAAAGTCCTTGGTTGACCGCATCTCATCAGGAAGGACTTCGATACCAGACGACGAAACGAGGCGGCCTAGGAATTCTACCGTTGATCTGCCGAGTTCGCACTTAGTTGGGTTGACTGTGACACCGTGCTGGGTCAAGCGCTGGAAGATAGTTCGAAGATGCATGAGGTGCTCTTGTTCCGAGGAATTGGCTCCTAAAATATCATCGACATAGGAATAAGCGGAGTCCAGGCCACGAGTGACATCGTGCATGAAGCGTTGGAAGGTTTGTGCGACGTTGCACAGTCTAAATGGCACCCTTAAAAACTCAAACAAGCCGAAAGAAGTGATAACAGCTGTTTTAGCAATGTCATTTTCTACTGGTATCTAGTGATGAACGAACCATATCGAGCTTTCTGAAAATCGTCTTACTTGTGAGGCATGCGGTAAGGTCTTGCATGTCTGGGATGGATATCTATCTGGAACGGTTAGCCGATTGAGTGCGCAGTAATCACCGTAGTAGTAGTAGTAGTAGTAGCGCGCTAATCATCGCAAGGGCGTCACCAAATTTATTGGGGACCATTATAAGGAAAGAGGACCAAGAGCTGTCGGAAGAGCGAGTTATTCCTATTTCGAGCATGTGCTCAAACTCAACCCTAGCTACCTATTGTTTCTCGGGCGATAGTCGGCATGGACGAAATGAGACGGGTGGGCCATTCGTCCGTATGTGGTGCGAGACTTGGGATGCTACGGGCAAATCTGCATTCATTAGCCAAACAAGCTCGGAATACTGCGAAAAGTAGTTGGCATAACTTGAGGTAAGGCGTAGACTGGTGTTATGGATGCGATATCGGCGGTGCTGTCACGTACACTGAGTTTCGCTGCAGTGTCGACTATTGTTTGGCGTTTCACATCGACCAGGAGGTGGAAATGCCTGAAAAAGTCAGTGCCGATGATGGGGAACGGGACTGTAGCGACGGTGAATACCCAGCGAAACGTGCAACGAAGACTTTGATCCAGGGTAAGCGACCGATGACCGTTAGTGGCTATAACTTGTTCCTTTCCGGCCCAGGAGCCCGTGACTCGCCCTCCGTTTGTGGAGGGTCAACAATGCCATCCGAGGCATATGAGTCATCTATCTCAATGTGTACTGGAGCGTCCGGTAAGATGAACGACCCATCAAGGGATGGACTGTCAGCAGGGGGACAGTTGGCTACAGAGTCCTCCTTTGCAATACTCAGGTGATTCATAATCAAGTCCACATTAGAGTTGAGCGAGGCAAGCCCGACTAACGCCTTCTCAACCAATGTGAACCTGCATGCCAGTGCCTTAAATTCGGCACAGATGATAGCCGGGCACTTCGCTTTCTGAGTGCAGCAATCAGCACATCTAAACAGGAGATTTTCACTGGATGATAGCATAGCGTACTGGTTCGCTCGGAGGCCGGTGCAACCTTTGTGGTACCAGCGGAAGCAAACCACAATGCATACCACCAGATGAATCCGTAACTGGTCTCGAGCAGGCAGAATTGCCGCAAACTGCAGTGGACTCATCAATCGAGGACCCAAAGATTTCATCCGCCCCGGTTTTTATTAAGACGACCATGTTTAAAGTGGAAAACTGAGCAGAATTGAAAAACACGTATACGACCGTAAAACGACCACAAAAAGGCAAAACAGGGTGTGAAACGGGATTAAAAAGGGGAACAACCGCAAAAATTACCAGTAAGCGTCAAGACGCTATGTCCAGTAGCACTTGAATCGATCCAAGATATCTTGGATCAGAGAAAATTTGACAATAGTCAAATTTCGCTTCACGTGTATATTCAAACACTGTTTTCGACAATACTTCAGCTAGAAAACTCGATCAGTATGGCACGCCAAAAAATCGAGTTACCGCGTAGAACTCACAGTACACATCATAGGAAATTGTTTAAACAAAGGAGACTTCAGGTCCGTTGTGATGTCACTCTGTCTACCAGAGTATATATATATATATATATATATATATATATATATCAGATTCAGATGCACTGGAACGATAGGAAAATCCATTGCGTGTTCCTTCTTGAGCTGATCGTTGAGCCAGGAAATGATAAGGTGTTGGAGGTCTTGATAGATCTAACCCGAAACCCTCGGAAGCATACCCTGGTCGACCAAGTACTACCCACCTTCCCTGCCCTAGGAGTCCCTGCTGGCCGGTTACGTGAAGTAAGGAAGAGAAAAAAGTAAACTCAGAAGGCAAACGTTAATGCGGAAAGAGCTGAGCAAGTGGAATACCAAGATATTTGAGTCAATAAAAAAAACTGAAAAGTGAAGGTGAGTCAGCTAGGTAAAAGGAAAAGCTTGCTGTTGCCACCCAAGAGCATCGAGCTGGCGCGCAAAACCATTAACCGTAGGTTCCCTAACCACGTGATCTGGAAGCGAATTCCAGCCAGCTATAACGGCGCGACAGACGAGTTTCCGTCCTAATCCTATCAGACCGTGGCTTATGCAGTTTCAGTGGGTGACCGCGTAGATTAGGTAACGCAGCGGGACTAAATAGCCCTGACAAGTCCAGGAGAATCTTACCTATCAAAATACGATAAGTGAGCATCAGGTCCCCTCTTATCCTTCGGTAGTGCATTGAGTACATCCCCAAACTGAGCAAGCGTTCAGGATACGTCTCTCCCCGTAGACCCTGCACTAGCCGAGTGCCCACTCGTAACACCCTCCCCAAGTCCATTTTGTCTAGGTTAAGACATGGTGGACAAGTCTGAATACAATATTCCAGGTGGGGTCGGACGAATGCCGAAAACAACTTCACAAACAAATTGGCGGATAAACCACATCATACGAAACCCTCGACAAGCAGCCTTCTTCCAGTTGTCTCCAGAATGAAGTGCTGATGCGTGTACGACTCCTAAATCAACCTGCTGAGTGACAACAGGGAGTTCACCACCGCCGACAACACATCGGGTGGGAGAATTTGCAGCTTCGATTCGGAGAACAGAGAACTTGGCCCTATTTATGGGCATCAACCGTAAGGTAGACCATTCCCAGAGCCTATCCAAGGCACGCTGAATTGCTTCAGGACTGCCGGGATATCCACAATATTCCAGAGCTTAAGGTTGTCAGCAAACATTAGTGATGACACCCCGAGCTCTCCCGACAAGTCATTTACATAGATCGCGTGCAACAATGTCCCCAATCCCAAGCCCTGCGGGGCGCCACTAAGGACAGCTTGCCTGAGCGAAAGGCTACGCCCCACCCGTACGCACTGTTCCCTCCCCTCAAGGAAGGCAGACACCCATTGAAGGGCACGACCAGATATCCCGTAAGATCTCAATTTCAGTGAGAGCCGAAGATGTGGAACAGTGTCAAAAACTTTCGAAAAATCTACGAATAGCACGTCTACAGCGTGGCCACTGTCTACCGCTTCGGCCCAGCTTTCACGAGTTACAAGTAGATTAGTCTGACATGAAAATCCTTTGCGGAATCCATGTTGCGCAACACTGAGAAGGTTGAATCTATTCAGGTGGTTCTCCACTGAATCGCTTATTAGCTTTTCAAACAACTTGACTAGTACGCTTGTCAAACTGACAGGCCGGTAGTTCGAGGGTAGAGCGCTGTCACCGTCGTTAAAACCGGACAGATTATTGCCTCCTTCCATTCCGAAGGTAGGATGAAGCTGTCCAGCGATACTGAAAACACGCATGTAAGAGGACCACTCAGCTCAGTGGCCAATGCATGCAACAGCTTCGGATGAATTGAATCAGGACCGGAAGCTTTGGAGGGATTAATGCCTTGCAGTAGCTCGAAGACCTGAGTCTCCATTATGTTAAATTCAGCTAAGGAAGAATCCTCTAGAACTCTTGAAACCAATTCATCCTGTGGTAAAGTGGTCTCCCGAACAAAGATCCCAGTATACTGATCACTAAGTATACAGACTTTGTCATAGTCAGTTTGCGCACGGGTCCCGTCTGCTCACAATAAAGCTGGTATAGACAGTTTTGCCCCGCTGCGTCTCTTAACGCAAGCAAAAAGCTTCTTGGGATTAGCTGCAGCCGAGTCCGCTAAACCCTGCTCGTACTGGAGACGAGCAGTTCTGAGATGCTGCTTACATTTATTTCTAATCTCTCGATAACTATCATAGGTGCTAGCTGATGGAGCTGTTTGGTAGGTTCGCCAGCATCTAGACCGTTTCTTGAGTAGGTACTTGCCCGTGGTAGCTATCCATGGAGGCTGTACCCTTAACGCTCTTCCTCATGAGTGGAATATACAGAGTGGAAACCTCCGCAAGATATGCCTTAAATTTATCCCAGGCTAACTGGACAGAGTCAGCCATTGAAATCTCACAGTTCAAAACTGAAGCCGGTAAAATGCGGTAATTATGGATTAGTTCTCCTGGAAACTGTCGGTAGTGCATTGAATACCTGCTCAAGCTAATTGGACGCTGGGGGTACGATTGCCCCGTTTGCTCTCTCGAGCTGCACTTTGTCCCGAAAAAGGCAGGGCGGGCAAGCCTGGAAGCAGTATTCCATATGGAGCCGAACGAAAGCTGAGAAGACCTTCACAAATATGTGGGCTGTTTAGACCCCGAACGAACGGCGTATTAACCACAACATCCTGAAACCCCTACTTGCGGCCTTCTTCCAGTTGTCACCCGAATGCAAGTACGAGGAATGGACGACACCTAGGTCTACCTGGTTGGAGCCAAATGGAGTTCGACCCCACCGAGTACGTAGCTCGAAGTCGGTAACTTTGCTCCTACAAGAAGAACGGAACACAGCCCGATTACTGAGCAGTAGCCACAAAGTAGAGCAGTCCCAGAATCCGTCCAATGCATGCTATATGGCCTCAGAACCAACAGGCATAGTTACAACATACTATAGCTTGAGGTTATCAGCAAACAATAGTGATGACCCTAAGTTCTCCAGGGAGGTCGCTTACGTAGATGGAGAAAAACATCGGTCCATGGACCTAGCCTTGTGGAAAACCGCTATGGACCGCTTGCCTAAAGAATAAGCTGCGACCCGCACGTACACACCGCTCTCTTCCCTGCAAGAACGAAGAGACCTAGTTAAGGGCGCGGCCAAATACGCCGCGGGAGCTCAGCTTTTGTGATAACCTCAAGTGGGGTACCTTATCAAATGCTTTCGAGAAGTCTACGAAGAGCGCATCCACTACGTGGCTATTATGCATTGCCTCGGCCCAAGCTTTACGAGCAACCAACAAATGCTTCAGACAAGAAAACCCTTCCGGAATCCGTGTTGTGCACTATTCAGTAGCTTAACTCTATCCAGATGACCTTCCAGCGAATCTCACACCAGCTATACAAGCAGTTTGACCACGATGCTAGTCAGACTGACTGGCCTACAATCAGCTGACAGACTCCTGTCGCCATTTTTGAAGATAGGACAGATGACAGCCTCCTGCCATTTAGTAGGTAATGTACAGCTGTCAAGTGTCTTCTGAGACACCATAGTCAGCGGTCCAGTTAGTTCTACCGCCAACTCATGCAGAAGCTTGCGGTGGATTGAATCAGGTCCAGCTGCTTTGGATGGATTCAGTTGTTACAGCAGTTTTAGGACTTGCGCTTCCACCACAGGAAACTCAACTAAATAAGAACCCTCAGGTACTCTGGGGCAAAGTTTAACGCTAGTCAACGCGGCCTCACGTACAAAAGCCTCTGCATACTTCTCACTAAGTACACGAGCCTTATCTGAGTCCGCATTCGCACGAGTTCCGTCGGCCAGCATTAAAGTTGGGATTACCGAATTTGAACCACATCGTCTCTTGACATAAGCGAAGAATTTCTTCGGATTTTCCAAAGCTCCACCAGCCAATTCCTTTTCGTACACCAGCCGAGCTTTCATTAAGTGTTGTTTACACCTATTTCTAGCCTCGCGGTATCTACCATAGGTGCTAGTTGCTGGAGCCGCACGGTAGGTCTTCCAGCATCTAAAAGGCTTCTGGAGCAGGTACTTGCCAGTGGTATCTATTCACGGCGGCCGCGCTCGTGTCTACTTTCTCCTCGCAAGTGGGATGTAGTGAGTAGACAATTCCGTGAGGTAACAAATTTATCACAGGCCGTCTGAACTGTAGCAAACACCGAGATTGCGCAAAGCGATCCAGAAGAGTTGATGCGCATTGCCTGATAGTTGGCATGCCATATGTTTGGAAATGGCTTAGAGATGCCCTGGTGCCGCCTGGTCAGAGTACACCTGAAAGATATATATATATATATGCATATATATATGCATATATATATATATATATATATATATATAAATCGATCTGCAAAACTTCATGCGTACATATTCTTATTTATGCATTTTCGTATATAGATATACGTATTTTCGTTTTCATAGAGTGATATACAGTAAAATAGTTCGTTTTATGCTTCTTCGTTTTAATACTTGAAAGCACGTTAATACATTGCGTTACGCCTCGCCCGGTTTATATGTTTTGTCTTTTGCAGCCACTGCTTTCTTTTCATAAATTTACCACTGCTTGCCGATTTTAACAGCTACTCCCTTTACCCTACGCCACAGCAACAACGTCACTTTCGTTTGAACTTCAGAAAATTATTGACCATCTTTGAGACACATTTAATCCTCGTTTCAGCATTTGCTAACAAGTTCTCACCAATAAACCACTTCCCCAAATTCTTTCATATCATGATGCAGTCTCATGTGTCGTTCACACTTGTATTTCTTATGCTTCGCACTCTGTTTTCTTGTTCCCTGGTAGCACAATCGTAACAGTAAACGTAGCAAACTGGATATAAACTGAACAGCAGTCCAGTTCAGGTATTAATGCGTTACTTGAAGCTAAAGGCATTTAGTATGACATTTTAATATATAAATCATTGGTATGCTTTGTAAGTGATATTATTTGACCACAACGGGTGTTGTTTAAGTGCGT